AAGGCAGCTCGTATTCGTGCTGTATCAGAGTTAAAAATTGACTTTACAAAGTACATCAGCTGTTGTAGTACATTTAAAGCGATACTGAGGGAATCCGATTTTTCTGAAAGGCAATCATCGCACGAAATACATAAGAAAACAATAAAAAAAGAAAAGGTTAAACGAAATTACTACCTACCAATGCGGCTATATATGTATATATATGATATATACATATGTAAATAAACAAACCAACAAAGTGACGAACAGTGCCACTCACGATTTCTCAGTGAACAGTGAACAGTGAACTGTAAAGCCCAAGAAGTTTCTTACTTCTTCATAATCTCAGCGCAGAGTGATGCGGCGAGCGAAAGCCAATCAAAAGAATGCCAAGTATTATAGGTATGCAAGGCAAACGAACGGATAGAAGAGGGGCCGAACTGAAAAAGGGATACACAGAATGTGAAAAGGATACTTTAGGCGAACAACAACAACAACAACAATAAAATCAATTTTAGCAACAGAAGCAGCAGAAGCAACGTGGCAATGAATTTAAACAAACTAAACAAACTGGCTTGAGTGAGCAAGAAGCTGCAGGCAAACACTCATGAAGACACACATACACCGTAAGAAAATATGTATGTATGCACATATGTATCAAAAATGTAAACGTATTTAGTAAGGCACTCAAATCAAAGCCAAGAAGACAGTATAGTTCAAGTAAAATGGCGGCAGCAATGATAAGGCAAAGTTCGATGTGCTGCGCTGGTTGAAAGCGGCGGAGATCGAGGAGAGTCGAATAGGGGCTGATTGACGGAGGAATGCCGTAAAGGCGACAGGTGTGCAGTTGTGCCTTTCTTTCCTACCAACTCTACTTCTTATCCTTTTCCGTCATTTTCTTCTACTCATTCATTCAATCTGTTTGTTTTGCCACACAATGGCATTACCCAGACTTTTTACGCGCCGACACACAGACGTGTTGAGCTCAAAGTAAAAGTTTTTTAATTAATTGAGCAAATTTGCTTAATGTCATATTTCGCGGACGTCGTGCACAATGAAATAAATAGCTTAGGTGTGGTAGTAGTAACGGTGCAAAAAGCATTTGGAAGGTGAACAAACTGTAGGTTTGTTATTGGTGTTGTCATTGAGGCGCTCAAATTTAGTTGGTGTATTGTATACCAAGGAAGTTGTCTCGAGAAACTACTCAGCGAAATAAAAGTCATTGCAGCAAACAGGTAAACTTTAGAAAATTTCAAAGTCATGAATGTTGATGAGCGCGCAGTTGTGGGTTAGCTTATTTATGAGCAGGCAGTACTGCACAATGTCGGCTTAATAATAATGATAGTGCTTTTAGACTTATGTAAATAGTTTGTTTGTGACATCAAATGTATGGGTTGGGAGAGAGAAGCTTCTGGGAGAAACCATTTTTCTATTACACCCCAAAACTTGTAGCGCCAAATTGAGTCTCTGCGAGCTGACGTTAAACTACTACCTTGTATTGTTAACGTAGTTACTTTGTTTGTGGCTCTTATGGTTGGGTTAGAGTGACTGCCGTTCATACTGGGACCTTGTTGATTTGGCATTAAGTAGCCACCGCATCGAGGCGCCTGACTAAAATCGATCACACAAATCGCCAGATCTACAGAGATCTCATGTTGATCGAACCTGGACTCAACCCCAAGTTTCCGCATGACTAAAATCGATCATACAAATCGCCAGATCATGTTGATCCATTCTGGTCTCAACCCTAAGTTTCCGCATGTTATTAAGCAATGATAACCACATGATTTTCGCGGCCACATGAGCTGAGTTGAGTTGAGTTGATGCGACAGCTGGTCAACACCAGCACACTTAGGAGAATAGGCCCATTGTAATACCGCTGAGGCTCCTGCCTTCAACTTCTCATATGATCGAACCATTTCGTGTGACTTATAAAGGCAACGAGACTTCCAATGTACAATAAGGCCAACTCAGCTAGACAGTCGAAGAAGTGTTTCCCAATAAACTTGTGTCGCGCGGATGTTAAGGCTGGACAGTGCCAAGGGTAGTACTCGGTGGTCTCCTCCCATCCTATTTCCGTGAAACCCTATCCTAACTCCGTGAAACCCCATTAAGCAGTGTCAAGTTGTTATACCAGTCGCTTCGTTGTCGGAGAACGAGTTCAGAAAGATAAAATCTTTATAATTTTCTGCGCCCAACTTCGGCCCGAGCGGTCTGGTTACATTGCACGTGATCTCATTTAAATATCGTGAGTCAGCTTCCCCGGTGAAGGCCAGTATAACTTAATGTCGCATTGTGTGCGTGTTTAATCGTAGATAGAAGTGCTCCTTCCATTGCTAGTGCGTCTGCCAGGCAGTACTGTATTTCGTTGAGAGTTTGTTGAGAGTGTTCCCACAGTTTTGACGTGGTGCCGTTGCATTGACGGGTTCAGATGGGATCCTGACTGTCCGAGTAAATTGTAACCGATTGTCCTGCTCAAGCTCATGCTTAGTGAAAGCACGGAAGTGTAAACTCTGCCATGAACCCTCCCATAAAGCTTCGAGCCATCTTTGAAGATGGTTATTGTTCCCAGTTTGGGGACGTTGGTTCTTTTCCACACGCATCTGCTTGGGATTCTCATGGAGGTGGTGTTGTCCCACTCCTTCGGCACTTCTGTAAGAGATAACAGTTTTTTTATGAGGTTTGTATGATGTTGAGAAGAGTTAGCAGTGCTCTCGAGAGAATTGTTGGCGATTCTCCCGTTATCAGGATGGACGCCGATCTTTGAACTCTCTATAACTTGCTCCTGAAGGTGTTTTTATCGAGTGCCGGCCACCAAAGTAAATCGCTTAATGTTTGAAGGTGTTTGCCTGTCGCTGTTAGAGGAAAGTCGTCAGCGTATGCCACAGCGTGTTCGCTGTTACGCACCACAGCAGCGGCGATAAAACTCCACCTTGAAGGGTGCCTCTCATTGTGTGTCTGGCAGCGCTGGTGTTGCCAATCTATGCGGCGATGATTGTGAGAAGAGACTCTGGGATATTCACTATGGACTGTCGAAGATCCATTTCCTGAAGAGCCTCTATTACGAAGGCAGGGAGAATGTTATTGAAAGCCCCCTCGTTACTTAGAAAAATACCCTTCACGGCAGTCCTTTTTCGATGCTTCCGACTATGTCATGCAGAGGCTGTTTGGGGGAAGATTTCAGTGTATATATGTGAAGTAAGACTGATTGGCCGAAAATCCTTTGAATTGACATGGTTGGTTCTTCCTTTTGGGATAAAAATTACTTTGGCCCTTGCAGAGTGTACCCTTCGCGTAGGCACGCCTTGTAAATTTTACATAGAAATGGGTATAGGATGTCCTCCGTCCTCTGTAGTTCAGCAGTTCAAGGTTTGCGGCCGCTTATAAAGTAGAATTAACCACAGAGCTACTAAGCAGTGCTTCCATCAAAATCACCTATAGCCGATGTGACTCAATGCACCAATGTCTTTTTATTTATATAGTTTTCAAAAAGTTAAGACATTATTAATCATTAATCATGCCTCCATGGTAAACGATATCCCGTACCCGTATATGAACTCAGGATTCCCTCTGCCCATAAAGCATATCTTACCGTGGCTTTTTAAGGAAAAAACGATGCATGAACAATGGCTGGAGTAGTGTCATTACTTCAGATGCAGCAATTAGGTTTCTTAACGTACCCATTCGACCAGAGGGGAGTTTTCTTATGAATCAGGATCTTTGACCATCCCGTTTTGGATTCACTCGCCAAACGTGAGACAAGCTTTACTGCCAATTGGCTGCAATGCTTATACGAGCTCGACATTGTAGGCCCGCAAACTAAGATCCCTCTGTGAAATTTTCCATAAAGTGGATGGATACAGATCCTATGGTCGGTTAGACTCACTAGGGTCTCCTTCGATACTCTACTCCACCGAAGCTATAACTTCTTCGTTGAGCACTGTACGGCATATCTGAAGAGGCGTGGTCGCTGAAATTGTAATATAAAAAAAACTCTACGATTTGCGAACGTTGTTCCAGCGCAGGTCGGTTCATTGCGAATGACAAACCAAATTGGGTCCAGTCAAGTGACAGCTGTCGTTCTCTATCACCCTTGCATCTTCGAGACGGAGTTGAAAATACCTCCTGTCGTCACCTCTGTTCCCTAATAGGTTTGTAGCCTTCAGACGGAGGCGACAATAACTTCTATCTTCATTCCGATCATCTTCTCCATTCTCTATTAGCTTTGTAGCTTCAAGACGGAGGCTACAACACCTTTTTTTTTTAGTTCCGATCGTCTTTTCCGTTCTCTATTAACCTTGCAGCCTCGAGATGGAGGCGACAATACTTCCTATTGTCACCTCTGTTATCTACGAGTATTAGTAGCTTGTAGCTTTGAGTCAAATATGGTTATTTCTTCCTCCTCTAATCACTCTCCGCCTAACAGCTTCCATACCGAGGCAACTACTCCCACCGTTCTTTACGTTCGACATCAATTATTTCATAGTAGTGGCGTGACATCAGCCTCGCGTCTGCGTTCCAGACCTTTCTCGTCCTTCTTATAACAGTTAGGCTCTTGAGAAACTTCGGTAGACTTGAATAGCACACAAGATAGTGAGTTGCTTTTCACCTGCCGAACCAGCAAGATTGCACGGATGTTAAGGAGAGTTACGACCCATCGGCCCACGTATCCGAGACTGTACAAATTCACTGACCACGGTCTCCTCTCACTTAGATGCACTCCGAGTGTGTAAGAAACAAACAAATCCGTTTTTTAATTAGCCGTTGGGTTGGAGGGTCCCATTGAAGGACTCTAGAGCCGCTGTAATATCTCAGCAAGGCCGAAAACCCCACGAAGTACCCACACATTTAGTTGGAGGGCGAATAGAACAAAGATACAATTGGCAAGGGATCATAGAAGCTTAATCTCGACCATATCTTAAGAAGAGGTAAAATACCCCTGATTAAAAAAATCTATCCTCGACCAAGTAACATATATTTCCATTTTTGAAAACTTCATTAAAAAATTATTTTGAGTTTTCTTAAAAAAAAAAGCAAGATTTTTCAATTAAATACGATTTTAATACCAAATGCACATTAAAACTAAATTACAAAAACTCTCATATGCCAAATTACAGACATCAGCGAACTCTGAATGCAGCCGGGAGCAAGACAAAGTGAATGAAGAAGAAGAAGAAGAACAAGCAGCAGCAGAAAAAGCACAGACTCAACAGTCGCAACAGTCACATCAGCAAACAGCCAGCGGCAATAGCAGCGACATTAAATTGAACACGGACAATGCTGTCGCAGTGCAGTCGTCCGCAACGAATGACGACGAGGACACAGCTGCTGCTACTACTGCGGCGGCCAAAATACAAACGAAATCCAAGGACACGCTGGCGGCCAACAGCGAGAGCGTCAAAATTGAACGAACGAAAAGCGCAACAACGAACAATAAAAGCAACAACGATACGACAGCGACTGGCGACATTACCACTGCGGCAGGCAAATGTGCACCAAATGCAGAAGCTGTAGCTGAAGTAGAGACCGAAATACGAGCAGTGGCAAATGTTGCTGCTGTCACTGTTGCTGGTGCCGTTGCTACTGCAACTGGAGCAACAGGGTACTCGGCGATGGCATTGAACCTGGTCGTTGATGATGACAACGAAGCTGCTCTGGCTAATGTCGCTGCTGCTCCAACACTGCAAGTGAGCGCCAAGCATAAAGATGTGGGTGGCAGCGGTCATACGACGAGACGAGAGAAAAAGCGACGCAGCGCCAATAGCAGCAGCAGTCGCGAATCGTCTGGTAGGCAACAGAAGGCCATAGCTACAAATCCAGCAATGACTATTAGTTGTGATACATGTTGCCAAATGGAATGTGAGCAATATCAGCAGCAACAACAACAATCTGTGTATACGCCAACGAGCCGCCGTCATGAGTCGCGTTCCGAAACGCGTACCAAAACAAGCAAAGCTGAAAGAGCGAACAAAATAAAAGATGAAAAACGTAGAGAGAGTCAAGGCACAACAACAAAGGCTAGTCGTACGTCAGAGCGTATGGAGCAAGCAACAATTGCGACACCAACAACAACAGCAGCACGAGCAATTGGCAAACTAGTTGGCAAAGAGCAAGCAGACTCGACGCCGCCAACAATGTCGTCGACGACGTGCGCAACCGCAATGAGAGTAGCATCAGCACCGGCATCAGCAGCAGCAGCATCTGCCACAGCTAAAGACACTGTTACACAACAGAGTGATGTAGATGAAACAATAACAACAACAATGACTACGGGTAGTCAACAAAAAGCAATAATAAAACAAATTGGCGGGCAGAATGAAAGAAAATTGGAGAATAACGGCAATGTTATCGACTCGTCGCCACAACATGCATTGGCAGATGTTGCCAACAGTGCTGATGTTAAAGAACCGAGCTTAGAGCCTGAAATAACGACTGTGGCGACGGCTGAGACAGTAAATGTTATTGAAGTAGCAACACAAAATGCAACAATCATTATAACGCCAGCTGAACCAACAACAGCAACAACAACTAAAGAAGTAGCCAACGCAGAATTAACAGTCACAAGCAACATAACAGCAGCTTCTGTTGTGCCAACAGTGCACGCTAAACTGTTAACAGATTCACCACTAACAGCAATGCCAACGCCAGCAGTGACGTCAACAGTTACTGCTTCTGCAACGCCAACTGCATTAACAACAGCAACAGCTCCAACAGCGCCAACAACGACTACGCCAACAGCCAGTGCGGCCAACTCGAGGGTCAGTTGTATTTCGGATATCGCAGGTGTCACTACGCCTTCGTACAGGTATGTCGGACGCGCGCGCGACTTTTACAAAAAATTCATTACTGTCACAGTTTGTTTTGTCTGTTTTTCTGCTTACTTAAAAAAATCATATCAGTCAGCAAAATAATTGAAATTCTTGCAAAATTTTATACCAGTTTACGGCAAATATACATATGTACGTGAGTGTTTGTGCTTGTGTAAAAACGCATGTGGGCGGTAATACAATAATAAAAAAAGAATAAGTTTACAACAATTTTACATTAAAAAAAAAAACATTAAACAAAACCTGAAAAAAGCAGAAAAAATCAAGAAAGTTATTATATTTGTGAAAAGCTTGTAGCAACAGCAAAACAATGTTGCTGATAATTTTTTTGTGTTTCTTTTTTTTTTGTTTCACCAAATACCAGCTAACTTGTGTGCCTTGCCACCGCAAACATTGTTGCATTTTGAGCCATAAATTGTTGCTGTTTCCTTGCAACTGTTTAACGATTTCGTAAGAAAAGTGTTCGCATGCGATGAATATTGTCTTTTTGAGCGGGCAAAGTGTTTTAGCAAGTAATAGTAAAGCCAAAGATGTGCGATATATGAAAATACATACATAACTACATACATATGTACATATAGACATATTCGCAAAATCTAAACATGTCTTCCTTTTCACCCCTTTTCCTTTCACTTTTCATCTCAAGGCAGCTGTAGCATTAAGAGCCGGTTCTCGTTGTCTTCGCCTAAACTGATTTCCTTGTTTTACTTGCAATTCGTTGTTCGGGCAGCAAGCAACACGTTTATCTATTCGCGGAGTTAGACGTAGTATTGGGCATCCATTACAGGCCGATTTGGCATTTTACGCACCATCTATGTAATTGCACAACTACATATGTATACAAACATATGTATGCAAGTTGATACTCTCGTAGTTTGTGTTGTTGCTATTATTTATGGGACAGGTAAATCAGTTAATAGGGTATAGAAGCCCAAGACCTTGTGCATAAGTGTCCTTCTAAGGGTAACACACGCGCCTTTTGCTTTGTAGATACATACATACGTACGTTCGTACTCTATGGGCGAATGATAATTTCCAAAATAGAAATATTAAACCTAAATTAAAATAAAATAAATGAATATAAAATAAAACAAATGAATATTAAATAAAATAAAATTAAATAAAAATCATGAAAAAGGATACAAATAAAATAAACACAAAATGAAATAAAAAAATAAAACAAAGCTAAAATTAACTAAATTGAGTTAAATTAAATTTAATAATCTAAAATAAAACTAAGTAAAATGAAAAATTTAAATAAAATAAAAAAAATTAAACAAAATGAAATGAAATAAAATAAAATAAAATAATATAAAACAAAATAAAATAAAATAAAACAACATAAAATAAAATAATATAAAATAAAATAATATAAAACAAAATTAAATTAAACTAAATTAAATTAAATTAAATTAAATTAAATTAAATTAAATTAAATTAAATTAAATTAAATTAAATTAAATTAAATTAAATTAAATTAAATTAAATTAAATTAAATTAAATTAAATTAAATTAAATTAAATTAAATTAAATTAAATTAAATTAAATTAAATTAAATTAAATTAAATTAAATTAAATTAAATTAAATTAAATTAAATTAAATTAAATTAAATTAAATTAAATTAAATTAAATTAAATTAAATTAAATTAAATTAAATTAAATTAAATTAAATTAAATTAAATTAAATTAAATTAAATTAAATTAAATTAAATTAAATTAAATTAAATTAAATTAAATTAAATTAAATTAAATTAAATTAAATTAAATTAAATTAAATTAAATTAAATTAAATTAAATTAAATTAAATTAAATTAAATTAAATTAAATTAAATTAAATTAAATTAAATTAAATTAAATTAAATTAAATTAAATTAAATTAAATTAAATTAAATTAAATTAAATTAAATTAAATTAAATTAAATTAAATTAAATTAAATTAAATTAAATTAAATTAAATTAAATTAAATTAAATTAAATTAAATTAAATTAAATTAAATTAAATTAAATTAAATTAAATTAAATTAAATTAAATTAAATTAAATTAAATTAAATTAAATTAAATTAAATTAAATTAAATTAAATTAAATTAAATTAAATTAAATTAAATTAAANATTAAAATAAAATAAAATAAAATAACATAAAATAAAATTAATTAGAGCAAAAAATTCAAAATTGCTTTGAATTCTTAATAATCATAATTTTATTTAGTAGAAAATTTTTAATTTATATCGTATTTAAACTATGATTGAGTTCAATTTATTTTGAATCTTACATTATTTTAATCAGTTAAAATTAATTGGAATCAAAATTAGCATCTCATTATAAACTTTATATAATGCATTTATTTAAAAAATGGTATAATCGAAATAAGCAATGGGAAAATTTTTAAATAAAGTTTCATCTAAAGCGCCATAAATAGATGAAGCGTTTAATTCACCTAAAGCCAAATACAATAGATTTCTTGGAATAAAGCACCCAAACACGCACAATGGTTATAAATATATAATACAGCTATATATAAACACAAATATATGTTTATATAGCCATGGTGATTGCACTAATTTTACGGTATATTTTTTTAATTTACTATCGTGTGCGCCTATCAATCAAACATGCCAAAATCCTTGTCGTTTTTTTTATTTAGTGAAAATATGCCGATAAAGTGATATGTATCTATGTATATACAGTGAGTGCATTCACAATATTTGATGCTAATACATATATACGTGAAATTTCGTATGTGCTCGTGAGTGTGCAGCAAAACCTTTCCGGGTAATTACACGAGTGTGTGCGCAGCGTTTATGTAGATAAAATAAAAAATTTGAAAAAAAATAATAAAAAAATTTACACAATTACTGCTAATTGCTTACAAAAACAATTAAAGAAGAAAAAAACCACAATGAAAATGTTTTTCAAATAAAAATAAAACTAATTAAAAACTAAATTCTAAAGAAAAATTCAATAGAAAATATACAAAAGAAATTACAACAGTAAAAGAAGCAGTAAAAGTGATTTGCAAAGGTATAAGAAGAAGCAGCAAAAAGAAAAGTAGGAAGTATATACATATGTATACATGCATGCAAAGGTGGTGTAGCGATTTTAAGGAAGTGGAATTTACGCTTGCGGCACGTACGTAGCTCCTTAAATTTTGCGCATATTTGTAAATACCTACATACATACATATACACATAAGAATTCCTTGAGGCATTCGCTTCTCAATGTATGTATAAATACATACATACACACATACTATTTGTTCATATATACAAACAAACTTGGGAGGAATGCTTTTTTATGCACCAAACTGTTGTGGTGTTAATATTAAAATCTCATAAGTGTGTGTGTGTGTGTGAGGGCATGGGGATGTGCAACTGCATTTCTCATATATACATATATACATGTGTGTGTGTGTGTACTCATGGCTTGTTATTTTTACTAAGCGCGGAACTGTGTCACAAGCGGTAATTATGAAGTACCGTTGCAGCTATTTCAATATCCTGTGTTTGCTTGTTGGCAGCCTGCAATATACATACATACATGCTTATCTATGTATATGCATATAATATAAACTTAATATACTTGGTGCTTTAATAATCTCTTATACTCATTTCTGAAGTGACTTTTCGCCGTTGTTTCACTTGTGTGTGTGTGTGTGTGTGTTTAACTGCATTTTGACTTGTTCCTTAAGTTTGGCTTGCACTTAGGAATATTTTTGTAATAGCATCATCAGTCTAACTACAATTCAAATTTATACATATTTTCTACCCACGAGAGGGTGTGCACACATTTACAGTACCTCACAAAAGTGTTGATACTAGCAATTGGTTATTGACCCAGCGTAGACGGGCGAGAAATTTAATTCACATACACATACAGTACCTCAAACAATTGCTCGAATTTTACCTTATTCATGGATAAAAGGCAAAACAAAACCAAAATCAAATTGACAATTGGCCTTAGTGACTCAAGGAAGCAACGGTTTGGTTCCAAAATATGACTATAAATAGGTGCGGTCGTTCGTCCTAAAATCTTGTGACATTTTCCGACCCCATGGCGGCGGTAGAGCAATTAACCGTATGTGCTACCTCGAGGTATGAGAGTCCTCCAGCGGAGGAGATACTCTATCAAAGGTAGCAATCATATCGGTTTCCTCTAAAAAAAAATTTTTTGCGATATAATTGGTCAAGTAAAAAGTTTGTTCGTGAACTTGTTGCCAACGAGACGCCAACTTCATTATACCTCCCTCGTAGAAGACTGCGTACCTATTGGCAAAAAACTCAGAGAAAAAATTTTCACAGACCTCTCTTGAGGCCAACTTCAGGAGGAACAACAGGAGAAGATGGTAATCATTTGTTGCCAGGTCCGGACTATAAGGTGGGTGCATTAGTACATTCCATCTGAGCTCCTGGAGCTTCTGGTACGTAACCAAAGACGGGTGTGGCCTGGCGTTGTCCTGATGGAACACTATTCGGCCTCTGTTGATCAAAGATGGCCTCTTCAAGCGGCTCATTTGTTGGCAGTAGAGGGTCGAATTAAGCATTTTGACATAGGGGAACAGCTCGTAGTAGATGATTCCTTGTCAATCCCACCAAACACACAGCAAAACCTCACTGGTCGTCAATCTGGTCTTGGTCACCATCTGGGCCGCTTTCTCGAGCTTTGACCAAGACCGTTTCCGCTCGCTGTTATGGTAAGTGATTCATTTTTCATCGCCAGTCACAATCCGATTCAAAAACGGATCAATTTTTTGCGATTCAACAGCGATTCGCAGATGGAAATTTGGTCAATCATGTTTTTTTACGTTAGTTCGTGTGGCACCCAAACAACGAGCTTCTTTTTAAATCCAAGGTTATGCAAATGCCTCCAAACGGTTTTCTGGCTCATCTTTAGTTCCTCAGCAATAAATAACTGCTCACGTGACGGTCTGCTTTCACTAGTTTCATGACTGTATCGCAATTTTCGACGACATTCCTCCCGACGCATGATGCATCTTTGACATCGAAATTACCGGAACGGAAGTATCGGGCCCATAAATCAATTTAATTTTTTCAGCCGCTTTGTCTGCTTTTTCGCCTTCATCGAAGAAAAGCTGTAAAAGTCTCTTAGATAAAAGCCGAGAGAACTTCTTACTTCACCAATATATGTATATATTAACATCAACTCTGTATGGAAACTCTGTTTGGCTGGAATGTGGCCTGGTCTTGGAGCCCTCTTGTAGTTGTCTCATTTAAAGGTTGACTTTTTGAGGATTCCTACATTCGATGAACTGTGTTTCCAGCTAAGTCTAGTTTTTGGGGAGAGGGGCATGCATAAACGCATTTCAAGCATTTTTTGCCACGTTATCCTTCTCTAATGCGATTGGAACGTGACTCAGAACAACAAAATGCTTCAAAAGGCTTGTCTCATATCATTTATTTCCAGACGTTCATCCGACAAGCTAAAGACCCAGCAGTTAATACATTTTGCTGTTATATTCGAAGAGCAACGACAAATTCTCGTACCATTGAGGTTCCTATACCACTGAAGAAGCAATTCTAACGAGTTTTATGATACAAAATGCATAACGGAGGACTTCAGGCAGTGACAAACCAAACTTCGATGACAACGGAATTCAAATAAAATCGCTATCAGAGACAGATATGAGTCGGTAAGAACCGTCTCATATCCTATTTATGTTTAGCAGTCAATGAGTTCACGCAAAGTCCTTCTTTACGGGTCTCCCAAAACCACTTCCCTTCATTTCTTGGTGTGAAATTCGACAACCCCTAGCGAATAACCAAAAAAAAAAAACCTTAACTTGTTAGCCGAGGGCACCGGATGAAAAGTGAGGCAATGTAAAACTGACTAGTCTACCTTCAGCTACTCTGCACATGACAGGGACTGGTCTTCCAACATCAACGCACTGAAAAGTGAAAGGGAAAAATCTTTAATCTTCTCGTTCAGAAGACGAACCATTTCAGAGACACGTGCTCTAAGCAAAATAGTCTCTCCGACATGTTAGAAAGTACGTATACCTTAATGTGGATCTTCAAATACCAAAACCTTACAGATATGCTGTACTCGATGAATTAGAGACATTAAAGGACTTTCAAAGAGAGTCGCCCAAAACTTACACATGTACTATGATTAACGTTGTTGGAATTGAAACACCATCTGTCTCAGGCAAATATCTCGTGTTTCCTAAAGAGATGCGCTTAAAACTTATAAGTGATATCAAGGTCTGTATGTTGCGCAAATAAAGATTGTCCAAGCTCCGCTAAGTATAGCCTACATATGCATGTATCAACTTACCTAAGACGCGGGGTCGAAAGCTGTCATGTTCCTAGGTCTACCAAGAAACAACCTTGGTGGTATTATATTTGTAGCAGTTAAAGCGATTTTTGGCCAAGAAATTTTCCAAGCAATGAAGGAAACTAAAATTCATAATAAGTGGCGATCACAATTAAATAAATTGATTTTCTATAAGCTTGGATGGACCAGGACTCGATTTATGGCTGTCCGGATATTAATATGCAATGCTGTCCTCAACTCAGCTACTGCGTCCATCGATGGCATTACGTCCGCATTTTAGAGGTTACCGATCAACGGATCGATCGTACACGTCAGTTTGTGATCTGAGCCCCCCTTAATGAGAACTGAGAGAAAGGTCTATCCTGAGGACCAGTGTACACACGTGATAACGTGGATAACAATCCAGTATTTAAAGAGACCATATTACAATTTCCTCTAATAGGCTTAAAAGTCCCTGTGGGAGAAAAGATCTCTTCTATTGGGTCTTCTCCTGTCGATATTTTTGCACTTTATTCGCACAGTGTTGAGGCTTACCGATGGCAATGACTAGCCATGCTTCGCTTCATACACGACTAATCGAACCATTACAACAATAATATCGTAATACTCGGCGACTGAGTTCTACGTAATATCGCCTGTTCTTTTTTCTAACCAAGGATAGCACGCCTGAAGCTCTCAAGTCAGTATGATCCACCCCTTTCTCTCTTTCAAGCCCGAAAACACTTACGAATTTCACTAGATGCGAACGTTCTTTTCGAAACTTCTACGAGAACAAGAACCAAGGGCTAAGTCGGCATTGTAAAAAGCCTCTCTCGGCAAACGAAAACCAAACTCTACATATAGCTCATCATACCCGGCTAGGTCATGTCGTCCGAAACGATGAAACCGCTCCAGCTTTGAAATAATTTTATCAGTAATCGACGGTCGAAGCAGAGGAAGAGGAAGGAAGGATCAGCTGGAGAGTGACCTGGTTTCACTTGGTATCTAAAAAGCAGAAGAAGAAGAAGAAGCATTGCAAAAAAGTGTAAATCAAAAAAATCTATAATAAGCCGTTTGGTTAAGTTAGGTTAGGTTGAGTTGGCTAGCTGTCACGCGCCATTTATAAATCTGCTGGTACCTTCTAGTGCCAGATGGAGGTTGAGTTTAGTAGTCTTCATGCAGGATGTCAGCGCATTTTGCGAACTTAAAGCGAGTCTTGATATCTAATTTTCGTACTTTATCTAGTCCTTTGAATTGCGCAGCTTGTATATATTTAAGACGAGTTCTAGATATCACTGGGCAGTAACAGAGGAGGAGGTGTACCAACGTCTCACTGCCTTCTCTGCATATGTCACCATTACTGATGCCCGTTCGGCTCACGTGTAATACCAGTAGGTTGTGACCTTTCATTAGACCAACAGTCATCTCTCCATACTTTCGAAATGACGTCAGTAAAAATTATATGCCCTTTCCTTCGCTGCTCTTGCATGCCAAACTGATACAACTGTAGACTTTTCCCGAAATTTCTTTTCGTTTTTAGTATTCTAAAATCTCTTCAGGGATACACCCAAAGCATCTACTATTGTGTATCATTGCACTACCAATGTATGGGATTATCAAATTTAATATCAAACCTTTTTTTTCGTCTTTGCTTAGAAGGCTTCGCAGGAAGCTAATTCTCCACAACTCCCACTCCACCTTCCATATTAGCTGACTCCATAAAAAGCGTTAGTTATAATTATTATAATTTAAGTTAAAATAACCGACAGCCCAAAACACTTCAAAGCAACTACTCCACCTCCCCACTCCAGCTGCCTTATTGCCGCAATTCGAAGTCTCACATGGATAGCAGTGTTCGT